CAATAACCATAAGGCCAGGGTATAATAATAAGCGGAGTAAGTGAGTGGTTGAGTGGGTGACAGTGAGCCTGGGGAGGGCGACAGATAGCCTCAATAATGACCAGAAGCGTTCAAGAAATGCTAGCCATACGTGCTCGATATTCAATAACCACACGGCAAGGGCAGCTTGGCAGGGGATAGCCAGGGGGTTGGGAGTCGGAGGGGGGCAGGACATAAAAAATTGAATTGAACATTTCCGGGACGAAAAGTTGGAGCGCTTATGGCAACCATGTGGGCAACCGGACAACGGCCCATGACTGACCCATTCAATTAAGCATGAAAAAAAAAGCAGTCGAAGATGTAGAAGGGCGTGTGGGGGGCAGTGGACGTGCCATGGATAGTCCATAAAAAAGGACATCACTTAAGGAGGTTCGGAACTTCGGTATTCCGAGAGGGGGGGGGGAGGTCTGTTCTCTGGGCTCTGGACTCTCCGGCCGCAACAAAACACGCATCACTTGTCACACATACTTAGCAGACGGCCAGGGGCCGTGGCCTGGGGGAGTCCTAGAGCCCAGCCAATGGCATGGACCCCTCATTGTCATGTCCTTGGTGTTGTTATTGAGGTGTAATACAATTTTTTGCCATGATACCCCATAACAATGGCCAAGCGCGCGATACGGAGAGACAGAGAATCGGAATCGGAAAAGGATAACGAGGACCCCAACTCCAATCCAAATCCAACAGGGTCACATATGGCGGCATAAGTTGTTCAAAGTGTGTGTATGTGTGTGTGATAGGGAGGGGGGAAGGGACACAACGCATAAACTTGCAATTGAGCCAATTTGTAAAAGTGCGGCAAGCCCATTAACAAGAGTCACGACAGAGAGTCAGTCTGGCATCATTGGATGGTACGGAACGGAACGGAACGAAACGGAAGCTGTCCAGGCTAAAATCGAACGGAAGCCAGAACACCTGCTCCATACCCACTCCCACCCCCTAGCCCTTACCCGAAACCCATACACAGACCTATACCCCAGCCCTATCCTATCCCATGATTTGAAAAGCTTTTGGCTTGGGGGTTGGCAGAATCCTACTTTGCATTACAAGCGCCCACATTAAAATTAAAATAAAGTTTTCCACTCTTCTACTGGGGGATAATATCCCTTTCAGTCCTTTCCTCTGGTTCGTTTTTTCGTGTTTTTTTTTTTTTTTTTTTTGAGAACTACTCGTACAAATAAATCTAAAACTCGCACATTTCTGATGGATATGGACCACGTCCAGGACTTACAGAGCGACAGAGGGAGAGAGAGAGGATGGGGGAGGCGGGGTCAGTGTTGCATGGTTGAGATATGCCAGGATACGGGTCCGGCCGCAGTTGGCAATTCGCAGTTTTATTCGTATTTTTGCATTTACATCAGCCCACATGCATTATGCATACATATATACTTACACACACACACACACATGCATGTATTCGTCTGAAGTTGTGCGTGTGTGGGCGCTGTATGAGGTCCTTTTTGGGTCCTCGGTATACACTCCCCAACGGTGAAGTTGAACCACTGTTTTGAGATGATTTTAAGAAGTAACTTTTGGAGGAGTTGTAGACATTTGTTAGGTTACTTTTAAGCTTGGAAAAACATTTTAAAGCTTCAAATTTCTTTCGATTTAAAATATATATATATAAAAGAGGTGAATATTATAATTATTATATTATTATTACTAAGGGTTGCTCCATAAATAATTCCATTCATTACCAATTACACTATTCCTTTATCTATCAGCCGAAACCGAACAGAATATTCCTGAATCTTGCAGTCGAAAGATCTATGTATCTACCCTTAAGAGTATACCGGAAGAGTATTCCATCAGATCTATGGGAAACCGAGAGCTTTACTTTACATTTTCTTGTTGAATTTTCCGTTCAGATACTTTGCTGTCTTTGTCCCTTTTTTGTTTCTTCTTCCTTTTTGCTGTTGTTGGATTCACTTTGGACTTTGAAACAAAGCACAGGACATAACAAGAGAAAAGCGTAGGTTGGGCGGAAAAAAAATAAAGTATGTATGCAAAATGAGTGAAACAAAAATGCTTCGGGCACAAAGGATGCAAGGGATAAAATAATATCCTTAAGCTACAAATGCAACATGAATTTTTCTTCGCTCGACCATTTTCACGCCCCATCCCCATACAACCTTTTCCATTCCCATAACAGCACTACGCTACTCGGCTATTCTGTTGCTCTTTCTTCGAATAAGACAGAAAACATACATACATACATATATCTCGTGCATCTACGGGATCTATGGGATACGACTATGGGATCTCCTAATAAGGACACTTGGACACTAAAATTTCGGTTTTCAGATCAAAACTGATAATTTTGTTTATGCTGGAATTTTGTTCAATATTTACCCATCAATACCCATTGTTCATTGCAATGCCCAGCCCACTGCCAATATTTTTGCCCAAAAATCGCCGAAACATTCAATAAGACTCAAGAGAAAACACCTGGATAAGATTCACTGAGGTGCTGGGATTCGTGAGACAAGTCCCATTTAAATTTTAAAATAGTTAAACATAAAAATTACTATGGAGGTAAGGCCTTCCTTATAACAAAAATAACTTAAAACTAACAATCTAAAATCCAAAAGACCACGGAAAGTTCCATGTCTATTGAAGAAGAAGGATGTCCCAATATGACGCTAGTTGCTGTAGAGGATGCACAATGGCAGCCCCATACCATAATTGATCGTACTCCGTTCTTAATAGTCTTAACAGATTCAAAATTGTATTTATAGGTCTTCACACATATTGTTACTATTTAGTTCTATATTATATTACTATACATTATCTTTCCTTTGGCTCCAGCTGATTCCAAAGAATTCCCTCTGTGACTTGGCATATACATATACATATATCTTTCACATTAATTCAATATACCCGTAAACTCTACGATTAAAGGGTATAGAAAGGATACTCGAACCTTACAAATGCATGCACATTAGAGAGATTTGCGTGTTCGTGTGTGTGAGAGCTTTGCTTTACTCTACTTTAGACACACACACACACACAAACACACATATAAAGCCAACGACTTTGGCGTCCGTTGGTCCTTTTTGCCTTTGCCTTTTGCTTCGACACTTATTTTAATTTATTTCATTTTCATTTATGTCCTCCCATCCTCCTGTGCATGTGCATGTGCTTCTCTATCTCTGGCTGTCTGTGTGTAATTAAATAAAAACAACCTTAAAGCAGGCTCCACACACACACACACACACACACCCATGGGTCCTGCTCCCGGATGGGTGTAAATTCTTTCATCGGTCTTTTATTCCAAGCAGCAAAACAATCTGTAAATTACGAGAACAAGAAAGTATCAAAATATATTGACAGGCTAAGTGTTGACACATCTCACGATCCAGAACTCAATTCATTCACAGTATGAAAATATATTCCTAGACAATTATTACAGAATTTAAATTAAACTAATTTCGAAAATACATATAGGCAGGACATGAATGATATAAGTATACATGTTCTCGTTCAAATGTCTTCCCAGGCTCAAATAATAATAACCCTAGCTCGATACCTTTAAATAAAAAGGACCACTTCTGATCCAGCAAAAATAGAATTTAAATTGTAATACAATTCACATATATTATGTGTACTTCAACCACAAAAAAATGCTTCGATTCGACGCTTAGGACACAACGACTCAATGCCGAAAAAATCATACTCCAAACATAACCTTAATTATAAAATTAATCATTTTCAACATTAATTTATATTTATACATTCAACATTTAAAGAAATTCGTATCGGATTTAAGAGAACGGTCCAAGCGATATTTTCCATTTTCCCATATTAAATTCTGGTTACTTTTAGAAGATATGTCGATCAATTTAGATAAACAAAAATATAGATTTTAGCATTTTCGCTTAATTCGATTATTTAAGCTCACAATTTTAAACGAATTACATTTTTCATATTCATTGTATGGAACTTGTATAAATTTTCCAAAAAATCCTTGGAATATTTTTGTATATGTATTAAAAAATTGCTTTAAATATCAGTCTTTTAATATACATGATCCTTGGAGTTTTTGGAGATAACAAAAAAACCTACATATTTATGGAGATTTTGGATATTTATATTGATATGGGGATCAACTATCATATGAGGATTATATATATATATGTATATACTTGTAGTATACCATTTATAATGATCTAAAACCGATTATGTAATATTTTTGACTATGAGCCTTCATCATTAAAAAATAGGTACATGAATAAAAAGCGTATACATCTGCGATGTCTGTATAGCATATTTTATCTCCTGTGTACAATATCATAGATGGACATAGATAGACGAAGAAATAGCTAATTACGTTCATATCGAATTATCACACTTTGAGGCGAATGAAACGATTTTTTAAATATTTAGTATCACGATTCTATTCTAAATCAGACATTAAAGTGATATTCATTTCCACATTTACAAGCATTGGCATTGCATTTGGTCTATTTGGGTATATTGGTCCTATATGTATTTATATAGATGAAGGAATAGTTCAAATAATTGAATACAGATATCAAAATTCGTTTTTTTACATTTTGATATCTGTATGAAATTATTTGAATTATTACATATGGGGTTACATATGGCTAAATCGAGTATTCTATAAAGCATTATGTAAAACTATCACATTTTTCGGCTAGGCAATGGGTTGTTTGTAAATATAACCATTAAATGCTATGATCATCACAAATAATGACAATAAACAAGCAAACTTGTATAATATTATGCACACATATAGCATATAAGTAGGTACATATATGTACGCATATAGAAAACTGTTTCCTCCGAGAAAGGAAAGGTATAAATATTATTTCAAAATTTAGAAGTAATAAAGGTACACTTGTGAGCTAAATAAATATAAATTGGCATGTTTCGCTGAAGATATGCGTTGCATTTTCGATTTAATGAATTGTTTGAACATTTATCGTCAGAATGTTGTCGGATATTGTTGTATACAAAAATATATTTTCATTGAATCATTATAATTTTTAAGAAATTACAATTCTTTTTTGTTCGATCGATTCTGTGTATTGTCTTGTATACGAAACTTTTATATAATTTTGAACTGATACCATGAGTGTATTGTTAGATCTAGTTTTAAAAATAGAATGGTGTATGAGTGATATGTGTGTTGTTCGAGCGGAAAAAATACCCATCTCCTGTGGCCGTGGTCCCCGTCAGCTGGCTTGAGTCGTGCTTCGCCTGTGGGTAAGAAACATTGTTTGAGATGAGCAAGTGATGTTTAAGATGGTGTACATATAGGTCGGGGACAGGCAGTGGATACAGTGCTCCTGTCCAGTTCATTTGTGTACCTTTGTATGATCTGCTTCCATGGGAACAAAGACTTTCTTCCCAGCCGACAGATACAATCGGGCAGGCCGACAGATATGTATGGCTACTCTCTCCAATACTGTGAAAAGAGTATGGAATTTAGTGCTTCGAGAGTTTCACGAAACTCAGGATTAAGGTCCAACAGTGGCACTGGTGCGTTATCGTCATGGCGTGTCCCGGGCAACACACCCACATCCTGTCCTAGCATGGACTGTGTCCCTCCAGTGGGAGCCTGCTCTTCCAATAAGGCTCCGTGTCCGTGTCCGTATCCGAGTCCGCGTTCGTGTCTACGTCCGAGTCGACGTTCGTGTCCACGTCCGAGTCGACGTTCGTGTCCGCGTCCGTGTCCACGTTCGTGTCCGCGTCCGAGTCCACGTTCGTGTCCGCGTCCGAGTCCACGTTCGAGTCCGCGTTCGTATCCGCGTTCGTATCCGCGTCCGTATGCGAGACTGCCTCCGAGTCCGCGGCCACTCAGCACACCTGTCGACTGACCGTATACCAAGCTTTCCTGTGCTTGTTCTTCTCGGCGATCGTTCTCGGGGTCAACTAGCGGAGGCAATGGCACTGTAAAAGGAACGACTTAAGATCCAAGATCCACGGTCCAAGATGATTCCACTTACCAGTTAGGCCGGCTAGCATTAAGGCACTAGGCTGGCCATTCAGCCAACCTTGGGGCATGGAGCCCCGTGCCATGCAAGTCTGCTGCTGCATAGGGTCCTGTGGTGGCATGCGCATGCGGGTCTGGTTCGGAAAGGGCCCATGCAGAACATTTAGGTCAAGGCTCTTCAGTCGTTGGCTTTGTGCGAATGATGATGCGCGTGGAGTTTCCTGTGCTGCTGCCTGTGGTGGCAGTGCGCGTGGTGGAGCCAGTCGCATTGCACGTTCTGCTCCAACAGCGTAATGTTGATTCGGCTTGTGTAGAGGCTCGCCGTTCTGCCGACTTGTTGGCTCTTGTTGAATGGGAAAAATCGTATTCTCCTGCATTGTTAGCGGTTCAATTGGCGGGCCAAGAAACTCAATGTCTCTGACATCTTCCGGTACATAAACGTGAGAGCCGTATAAGATTTCCGCCACGTCACTGCCTATTCCAATCGGTATTTTGTCTGTGCACTCATCGGAGCCACGAGACTCGTGTGCAGCAGCATCAGCGGTGGCAGCAGAAGACGGCACTACACGTCCCTTGAGCACATCAGCCCAAGTAAGATTCGGTGTTACGTCCGACATGATTGCGAAGATGGATGATCAGTTTACAACTTCCCGAGAAATAACGCGAAAAAAATATTTTTTTTCAATCAGAAATGAAAGTATTTTACTTTGTCAGAGACGATGCGACGTGTCGGCCAGAAAAAAATGTAAGAAGTTGTCGATAGGTTTGAGAGATCTGACATTTTGTCTCGTATTTCAAGATGGCGATGGGTCATAAATCACTTCTGCCAGTGTTGGTTAGTTGTGTTACTATTTGTTTCGTGTACTGCAAATTTTTGTTTGAAAATTGTTGATAGAATGTCGCGGGAGTTTACCGCGAGCTTTAGCTATATATTGCCGTCGTCAACTACAATGATGGATCGCAAGCCGTTGTCGCCAGCAGCCGCATACGCCAAGTGGGCCGGTCGCGAGACGACGCGAAAGAGACCGACAGAATCCAAACCATTGCATATGAATGTAGCAAAGGTGAGAGAGCCGAAGCTGGAACTGAAGCTGGGGCTGGCGCGTGAACGGGAATGGGAGGGCAGCTCCCCAACGCCAAGTATAACCTTTCTACCCAAGTCGCAACTGTGGTCGGATGTGATGCCGGAAATGCCACAGCGACCTGTGAGAATAGAGGGCGATGAACCGCCGCAGGTGCGGGCCCCACCACCTTCGCCTCGTCTACGTAGCCTGGACTTCAATCAGAAGATCTTCTCCCGCCTCTTCGACGAGGCTGTGGCCACCACCAAGCGCCGTCAGCAGGATGCCAATGCCACATTTTTCGCCGCATAAAAGCGGCGCTGCTAATCGAAACACACCCGCCCGCTATGCAGCCGTCGCCTCCAGAGAATGCCAATTTGCATAGTTCCAGCTATACATATTGAAATGGTCACGCACAAAATTGAATGTAGCTTTTTATTAAATTTAAATTCGAAATGGACTGGAAGTCTGTGATATCGATAAATGAAAACGCATTCGAATCGCGCCGATTGCTTACACACTGCTACCATGTAGCGGTTAAAAGTATCCGTAACAGAGTGCGCTACATGACAATAAACATGTTTTCACTTACTTTGCATTTTTTTATTTTTTTGTTTCAGACACAGCCCAATAAAAGGTATTACTTAAAGTTAGCATAACTTGTAGGAAATTGATTCATAAATCGGATAAAATAATATGTTCAGTGCTGAGGGTCTTAGCTGGCTATTAATATTAAACCGAATATCAAAATCGAGGAATATGATTTTTAATCATGGCAGGAACGATTAACCCATTGTCGACCAGTGTGTTTTAAAACACTGTCCACGAAATTCTTGAATCCTGTAGAAATTTCACACAATTCAGGTATTAGATATTGTGGTCATTTAATTTGAAAGTAAGGAGAAGTGATGGATATAAATGAAGAATTGACAAACAGTATTGCCTTCCGTTGTTTTTCATCTATTGAAATTGAGGGGGTCAAGTGGGCTAACCTTGTTTTTCATCGGTATATTCACGGTATATTTTGAAAATAATACAGTACATTTCGGTATATTTCTGGTATTTTATGTTTATTGGTTTGGCCAACACAATAAACAGTCACACTGCGAAGCCAAAAATCGAAAAATGAGAATTAAATTTTATTAAAAAAAACGCTAAAACGCTGCCCAAATAGACACAAACTACTCAAGTGCACCCACTACCCAATGCTGATGCGCTCCATGTGACAGGTGAGGCCAGCCAGCTGTTGTGTGTAGTCCGCAGGCCAGGCACACGTTCCCCCAGACCCCGTTTCGGATGTGGAGGATGTGCGCATCTCTGCTGGTCGATATAAAAATTGTGCCTGCTCCGCCTGTTCGCCCATAGATGTCTGCAGCCCCCAAGGGCTGATTACAAGTAAATAGTCACACACTTAACACCATCCAGCCAGCAATCCAATAATTGGGCGGAGCACAAGCACCTGGGGCGCCAAGAAGAATCTCCAGCAGCGGCAGCCTGGACATGGCCACCGCACCGTTGGATGCACTGCAGGCATTCTATGTGGACTTTAGCGAGCTAACGTTGCGAGAGGTGAGCATGCACATCGACGACCATTTCATGCACCCGTACCGATCTAATCAATTTTTGTATGGCCTTCACAGAAAGTTGGACACGGATCCTATGGGGTGGTCTGTAAGGCTGTCTGGCGCGACAAACTGGTGGCCGTCAAGGAGTTCTTTGCCAGTGCAGAGCAGAAGGACATTGAGAAGGAGGTGAAACAGTTGTCGCGCGTCAAGCATGTGAATATCATTGCGCTACATGGCATCTCATCGTACCAGCAGGCCACCTATTTGATTATGGAATATGCTGAAGGCGGCTCCCTGCACAATTTTCTGCATGGCAAGGTCAAGCCGGCCTATTCGCTGGCCCATGCCATGAGTTGGGCCCGTCAATGTGCCGAGGTAAGATCAACATAGATCCGATCGATTCTAAGTCTTGCATTCGCTTCATTCCCTTTGCCTTTTGCTGGTCTAGGGCTTGGCCTATCTGCACGCGATGACGCCAAAGCCATTGATACATCGCGATGTCAAGCCACTGAACTTGCTGCTGACCAACAAGGGACGCAATCTGAAGATATGTGATTTTGGGACTGTGGCCGACAAGTCCACCATGATGACCAATAACCGTGGCAGTGCTGCCTGGATGGCCCCCGAGGTAGGCCACAACAAAACCTGAAATTAGATCGATCTCTAATCAATCGTGTGTGTCTTTCATTCCAAAAGGTATTCGAGGGCTCAAAGTATACGGAGAAATGCGATATATTCAGCTGGGCGATTGTACTCTGGGAGGTGCTGTCGCGAAAGCAGCCCTTCAAAGGCATTGACAATGCCTACACCATACAATGGAAGATATACAAGGGTAGGGGAATGCATGGCCTCCTCATGGACTTCAAAAATACTAAATCCGTGCAAATGTTCAATTAATTTCGATTTACAGGCGAACGTCCGCCGTTGTTGACGACCTGCCCCAAGCATATTGAAAATCTAATGACAGCCTGCTGGAAAACAGCACCCGAAGACCGCCCATCCATGCAGTATATTGTGGGCGTCATGAATGAGATTGTCAAAGACTATACGGGCGCTGACAAGGCCCTAGAATATACATTTGTGAATCAACAGGTGAGTGGGTAGGGTCTACGCTTGAATCCCTTATTGCTAGTGACCGATTCTTTGCTTATTCATTTATTCGTGACTGCAGATTGTCACCAAAGAGAGCGATGGCACTGTGGCCGCTCAATATGATAGTAGTCTCAGTTCAACAACGGATCTGAGTCTCTCGTCCACACAGTTAACACCGACAACGGCGGCAAATGCCAATGCCAATGCAAATGCAAATGCAACAACGACTAGCTCAACGACAGCCGAAAATACTACCTCATCAACATCATCATCATCGGCAGATATAACGCCGACAAATTCGGGACATCTTGACAATAATCCTCTATTCCATATGAGCAGCAACCGATGGGACGCCATACCCGAGGAGGATAGCAATGAGAGTCAGACGAATGATAGCTTCAATTTAACCTCATCTGTGGAGGCCACACAAAGGCTCGAGACCATCCGCAATGGCATGATCCAAATGGCCTGCACACCCATGGAACAGTTAACCCTCGATGTGGAGGCGGTGCGTGCTATTTGATTGAAATACTTACCCTCCACCTTCTTGATCTCTCTCACTCTGTCTCTCCTCTTTAGAATGGCTTTGGTCTGAGTCGCAGCGAGAGCAGCAGCAGCAGCACTCATGGTGAGTTCTCAAACCCAACTAGCGGCATTTATTGTTGGTCGAGGAGACGTTGCTGAATCACACGCGAATCCATTGGAATCGCAAACGATTTTATGGCCTGAAGATCGGGGAAACTGTGCTCATGTCCGTTTTGGGGGTAAAGGTTACCTATAAATAGTCAGAAGAAAGTGTTTTAAAGCCCACCTACTTGGCTATTCTATTCTAACTTTATACCCACGGATCATATCCATTACGATTTCCTCTAAGGGGACACAGGAAATGCTCTGATTTCTGTTCTTTGACACAGACATTCCCTAGAACTCGCGAAAAAGTGTGCCTAAACTTCGAGCTGCCACTCAATAAATCAGCTATAATTGTAAGTTGACTTTTGTTGTTGCAAATTGCTTGGCGCATTGTCAGCTCTGCTCTGGTGGGGTGGCACCGACAGCTGTGGCTGCTGTGTAGGTGACGCATTTTGTTTTACTCGCATGTAAACAATGCAAAGCTCTCCTTCTCTTTCCGATTCGCCATCTCTTTTCCGTACAGGCTCAATGAATGTTTTTGGTTAATTAGCCGCTGCGGTGTCTCTGCCGAATGCATTGAAAGTCTTTTTGAACATTATTCAATTGTCAATGTCTGTACTCTATGCAGAGATGTGGCTGTATCAGTGGGCTCTGAGCTGCATAAATTATAAATATTTAGTGCACTCATTCGCAACGATTCACTCATTCACCAGCGACCTCTAAATGCTCTAGGGTATGCTACAAACGACATTTATTGAAGTTTGATAGCCTCCAAAAGGAGAGACAAATTGCATTATTTTGATATATTGAAGTTGTTTAGGAGTTAGGAGTTACTCTATTCCATCTGTTGGGACACATAGTAAAGGGCGACTGCCATTTCCGAGTTTCCAGATAGTACATTAAAGGGGGTACAAAGTACAGTCATTCTCCAAGAAATATATACATTTTTCGACATGTAATTCTTAAAGAAAAAAGTATTCCCCCAACAGCACAGCAAAAAAAACCTAATCGAGCATCATGCACACGACATTTATGTGGGTTTCGTACTATACATGGACATTCTCTTCACTTGAATGGTTCGATGAGTCCATTTGGGAGCCCAGCTCGACCTCTACATCCATGGGTTCTGTGGTACGCTGATTCCCAGCGTACCTTTTGTTCATTTAGGATAGGGCTATCGATATCCCTACCAGAACAGGCTACAACCGTACAACAAATCGCATATCGAGACCGGTATACCCGGCTGTAAGGATGTTACGGCAAAACAGAGGCACACCAAATAGTTGCACAGAAATTTTGCTGCACAATTAAATAATTTGTAATTTGTTAGCTGGCCTGGCAATTTCGGGACAGATTTATAGCCAAAGGCATGCTCCGTCGCTGAACAGAACCGAGCAGCACCAGGGGGTGGGGTATGGGGAGGGTTGAAGCCATACAGCTCGTACGAAACGCACACATGACGATGCCCCAACAGCCCCGCCGCCGACATGACTCACTCGGCAATAATCTCACTTTTATTTTGATTTCGTCTAAATGGCGCACACTCGTATATATGTGTATAGATCACACACACGAACACACACAGATCTCTATATCTATATATATATACAGATCTACACAGATATATAAGAGACGAGAGGCAGCAGAGCCAAATCGTTTGGCTCTTCTTTGAAACAGCCAGACCGCGTTCCCAGAGGCACAATCTCCCCCCACTTGAGACGTACTATACTATATACTCGTAATATAGCATAGATATGTATGTATAGCGTACACTTTGCAATGTGTAAATAGTAAATGCATCAACAGCCAGTGGCCAGAGGATACGTTTGAGATACTTTTTTGCCAGCGGGCCCCCTAGCCGGCCGTATCGTAGAGTTCACTTCACTCACTGGCGGGCTGGGCCGGCTGCTACTGCGTCAGTGCTACGAGATATAGCAAAATGATTCCCATTATATGATCCCATACCATGCCAGCCCTCTCTCCTCTCTCGGTCTCTCTGTCTCTCCTTCCCACCCTCTTGGGGGGCGATCTGTGTTCGAGATTTCCCAATTGCAGATGCCAACTGCATTAATCATCGAATTTGATCAATGTTCGGGGCCTGGCATCGGAATGAATTTGAATGAATCTTCATCAGGTTTTGGTTCGTCATGGAAATGGGCTACCAGTCTCTACCATGTGTTGCATGTAGTGGGAGGAACCAATACCCTTCCCCCCCCTTGTTTCTTAGCGCTGTGCTCAGAGATTTTTCATCGTAAATGGAAACCTTTTTTGGGGGGCAAAAACTCTATAACACTCTCTATCTCTCTCTCTCTTGAATATTGAATAATTTATAACCAATTTATTAACCTTTTTTGGATGTATGTATGTCCATTTTTCTATTAATTTCAATTCTCAAATAATTTATAACCTTTTTTTTCAATAGCTCTATAAAAATGTGTACATTATTTTTGCTTATTATTTTGATATTCCCGAATACCAATAATTCGATTTTATTGATTTAAAAAAACATTATTTCAGGTTTTTTCTATATTCTAAAATATACAAAAAACCTTGTACACCTTTTTTGGATATTTTAAAAGGCTTTTTAAAAGCTTTTTTACATTTTTATATCCCTTTATTTTTCACATTTTTATACAATCTTTTAAATTTTTTTAAAATTATTTTTTAATTTTAAGTCAGTAATTTTTAATTTTAGAAGTGATTTTTGTGCTTTTTTCTTTATTTGTTGATTTTTATTAGCTCTATAAATATTATTTTCGTCTGCTATTGAGTGGATTTTTATGGATAACAGTTTCAAAGAATTTATTGATAAAAAAAAATATTTAATCTTAGGTCAGTTTTGTTTTTGAAAAGATTTTAAATGGAAAAGGACTTTCTGAATAAGCCAGTATTTAATTCGGGATATTTGATCCATATTTTCCCATTTTCATTAAATTTCTTAGTCCGTATTCGAAAGAAGGCGGTGCACAAATTCCACGAAGGAATACGTTTTAGGGCTTCGATAATTTCGGAATCCCTTTCTTTGTATGAGGACTGAATGGGAGAGAAGGGCGAGAAGAGAAGAGAAGAGAAGAGAAGAGAAGAGAAGAGAAGATCTCAAACCCCCCGATGAGTGATGCCATTTAGCGCGGTAATCTTTGGGCGGACAAAGCACATCCACTTAAGCCACCCCCCAGCCGCCAATCGTCGAGCGATTTGCCACCCCATGGCAGGGGGGTGGGGGGGCGTTGTGGAATGATGCCACAATATACTCATTCTGGGCGCGTCATCAGCAGCAGCAACAGCAGCAGCAACGATCCGTACGGTCTCCGCCTCTGCACCATCTCGGCACCATCTTGCCACGTCTGCCGAGGCAGTAGATCCCCGGCGAGAGTCGTCTGTTTGCTTGGATGCCTCCGTCTCGGTCTCGGTCTCGGTGTCGGTGTCGGTGTCGGCCTCTGTGTGCCTCGGTCTGCCTCAGTCTGCGTCCGAGCGCCGTGCGGTCTTGAGTGCTCTACGAGATGTTACGGAATTGTCGGGCGACGCACCGAAACGCGCGAAACATTGTCAATTGCCGCCGGACTCTGGCCGGAATCGAGTTTGCGAATACCACACGCCCCAAGCAGATTCATATCTGACCAAGAATCCCAAACCGAAACCCCACAAAAAGGCCCAACAACAACAAAATCAAGTGAAATTTCCAACAGCTTTTACTATTTGTTTGTGGTTTGTTTTCCCCAAAAAGCGATTCTGTGGAAAATCAACAAGCACAGAGACCAGAGAAGACCAGACCGACCTCTCTCCCGAGTAACGGGCGGTGTGTGTGTGCGCGCGTGTGTGTCTGTTTCTGTGCCTGTGTGTGTGTGTGTGTGGGGGGGAAAACACGTCATCGGAAAAGAAAAACAGAAGCAACAGACATCGGAGAAAGAGAGGGAGGGAGGGAAAGATCGATCGATCTTTCAGTTGGAAACAATGTGAAGGATTTCCTCCACATGACACATACAGCAGCAGCAGCAGCCCTCTAGTTTGGAGTCTTCTCTCTGTATTATTTGTGAAAATGAAAATGATCTAGAACCAGGGGCCATTATATAGTCAAGCCCTTGAACCTTTTGGGAACTAAAGGGCGATTCCCATCGAACATTTGCCACAGGAACCAGGAACCAAAATGTGCGACACGCGGGCTCTGATCAACACCAAACAGACCAACGATCTGCACAGTTGTTGGATCATATATAGTAGGTTATAGATTATAAGCTAAATAAACCCTTTTTTGAGGCAATTCCTTAGCGCGAGGTTACACCCAAACGATTCGTACTTCAAGGCTCATTTGTAAAATAATATTATTTCTTGGATTCAAAATTGTTCTTATACAAATATAAGCTGAACACAAATTCTGGGAAACTTTAAGAAAATTATCTGTATCTTTTCTGTAAAATTTGTGTGAATCATTTTGCAATTGATAATTAAGAAAATTCGGACAAATTTTTTAATTGCCTTTAAATTGATAATAATTTTGAAATGAATAAAATCTGTATACCATTATCTTTTTCTGGTTGACGTTGATGTAACAGACAATGCGTTGCTTTCTTTCAACAATATATTTCCATTACATTCAATGCAATTTTATAATATTTTCTTCGATTTATTTAAACTTAAGTCAGTTTTTACTGTTTTTGTTTGTTTGTGAATGTTTAAATCCGTAATTTGTATTCATAATTTCACGGATTTTTAAGCAAAAATAAATTAAAAAACATTTTCTTATAATTTCTCTACAATTTGCCACAATAAAGAGGCATATTCCATTCCAAGAAGGAATAAAATACTCGTAAATTTCTATAAAATGCGCACAGATTTTATGCCGTACAAAATTATATTTCTATATTCTGTCGAAAATTGAGAACAGAATGCGTTCATATATTTCTGGTCGTCTACGGGAAACGTATATCTTTGGGATATTATTCCATAATTCTCGAATGAAAGAACGTTACATTGGCATCGACCGAGGGGCGCTGCCGCATGACATCTGATTTTCCTAATCGATTTCGATGCTTGCTTGGACAGATCGCTTGAGCCATATTCCTCTTCGATTGGGATTTTATTTATGTACGAAATTTGAATCTTTGCAGCCAAAAGCGATGGCCGCGAGCGACTCACGGTGACGGACACCAAGCCGGTGATCATGACCAGCAACGATCTGACGAACAACAACGATGCCCACGGCCATGGCCACACGAATGGATTGCTGAGCCATGCCCACCAGCAGCTGGAGGCCGCGGATCCAGAGCAGGAGGAGATCATCAATTCGCTGGACGTGGACGTGGACGTGGATGCGGACGAAAACGACGGCACCGAACAGTCGCTGGCCGAAATACTCGATCCCGAGCTGCAGCCAGAGCCCCCCATACCGAACAATGCCGAGTCGCAGTCCATCTACCGTGAACACCGTCACATGGCCAAGGAGTTCCTGAGTGTCGACACGAACCTCTACTATGCGCAGGACTTTAAGGACAAGCTCATACTCCAGATGGATCTCGCCGAGCGCGACCAGAAGCAGGAACTATTGCGCAAAATCAAGGATAAGGTACATCCATCATCACTTTATATATAGCTAATTAAATGATTGTATGTTTTGTCCGTTAGGAGGGACTCCAGAGTCTGTACAACAATTTGCAGCAGCAGTGGGAGAAGCTACCCGCCTCGCGGCAACTGCAGGCCAGCCACAATCCGCACTTGCATCCACATCCCCATCCATTGACAGGCGCCCCCGGTCAGGTATGGGGCGGCAACGGTAGCCAGGAGGTGGGCGTGGCAGGGGGCGTAGGAGGTGGACCCATAAGCGGCGTAGATACAGTCGAGAACGATGGTTGGGTGGTCATACCGCCACATCCGAACGCGTAGTCGCCGTAACCGCATTCAAATCGCATATGACTCTCTAAACAAAAATAAGTTAAAGCTGTAATATCTGTAATCCGTAATTTAATCTGTATCTCTAGCTATAGAACTCTCTCTGTCTGTGTGTGTTTGTTTTTTGTCTCTGCTGCGTTTTTTGTGAATCGTTTTAAGCGTTTTTTTGTTAGTCTTAAGTGAGCTTTTAGCCCGTGTGTTTTTTTCATTTTACGAACTCATACCTAACCGACAACTTTCCCCAAAAAGGCATTCTCTGAACACTTAAATATTTATAGGCTAAAACTATTGTACTATATGCATTATATATACCCACATACACAACAGACACAGACACACCAGACAGAGACACATCAGACACACACACATCTGTCCAAGAACAGAGATGCCAAGGCGTAGACCAAAAACAATATAAAACCCATCAAAAACAAAAAGACAAAAAAATCCTGCTTCTTGCTTTAAGAATATTCTGGAATTTTAGGTATTCTGGATTCCAAAGATCGAATATTTATATATGTATTCTATTCTGTTAGCAATGCATCTAATAACTTCAACTATTGACCAGCAAAACAGGCCCCAAGACGGAACGTTTAGGATAAGTTATTTTCAGAAGATACAGATATCTATTGTAGATTCTTAAACGCTTGTATTTTGTATTTTCACGGCTTAAGCATTCCATCCCAGGCTGAGGGGCTCTGTTCATACCTTATTCCATTTAGCTTGGCAGCATTTTGTTGAAGTTAGTAGCAATGAGAGCCTCATCACGCACACGGTATGTATTTTGTTTTCATATTCTCGGCCATTGGCTGGCGGCCGAGAAAGAATGCTTTAGAAAGATTTCCTCTTGGCTTGAGATTTAATTAAATTTTTTCAAGGAAATGTTAATGAAGGATTTATTGAAATAGCAAACTTGGGTAGAAATTTCTTTCTTCATTCCATAAACTATAGGAGTTCACTTTTGGGCCTTTTAGGTATGAAACTTGAAGAATTATAACGCAGACCACGTTATAGATATCGCGGTAATTGTTTGTTAAGAGAACTTACACATAGCATAGTTTTCCATAGCTTATCTACAAAATTTCCCCTGTTCAAATATAGGGCTTTTATTGGTCCGAAAAATTCGAATGAAAAGTGCCAAATACCCAAGAGGTATGCAAATTCCTAGCAGCCAGATGAAAACAATTATAATTGTTGGTTTCAAAATAGAAAGAGTAAAATGTTTCCCAAAAAAAAGGGGCACCCATGCCATATCGCAAGGCGTTTTGCGTAGGTATCCTAAGAGCTGTCTATGAGCGGCATGGAATGCTTTGATATAAGGATAGTCATACGAATACGAGTACGGTTTATATTCTATGAAATATGCACTATTTTGAGCCGGTGCTTGGCACATTTATTTGTCTGTACAGGCACGGCAGCACAGTACAGGCCTTGCCGCATGTTGCAGGCTGCCGTCTTGTGGCTGCTGTTATTGTATATATTATTGTATAATTATGCTAGTTTAAAGTACATTTTTAGGCTACAATTGTAGGTTTTGAGAATCGTTAAATTCGTTTACGTAGGTGCACAGTTTGTCAATGGTTTCCGCCAGTTAAGGGTTGAAAAAGACGACGAGAGAGGTACGCAGATTGAGTGTGCAGCGTCTGGTGTATTTTTAAATCTTTCGCCGTTGCAGTAAAGTGTTTAAAAAGGCGCTGAGAGAGGGTGTAGCGTGTAGTCTTCTGTAGTGTAAAAAAATACACGAGTAAAGTTAAGAATCACAGATAGGAGCATAGAGGCTGGCGCATGTTGACTCCCAGACATCGGAGGGCGTGTCCCACGAATCCTTGCGATGCCACCAACACTTTCTATCCACATCGTAGGCCATGGTCGCCGAGCTGGCTCGATCGATGGTCTCCGTGGAGTCGAGTCCACCCACAAAGAATATGGTGCGCCCCATCATCGCTATACCCGAGTAGAATTTGGGCGCCGGTATGCGGGTCTCCATCTGCCACGTATTCGTCTTGATGCTGTACGCATAGATGTGCTGCACAAGGACACGGGCCTCCGCCTGATTCTCGTGCCAACCACCGCAGGCAAAGATCCGATCATTCAAGGCCACCAGGACATGATCACAGCATTCGGTGGGCATCGGTGCGAGCTCCACCCAGGTATCGGCCTTTGTGTCAAAGCACCAAAAGCTGGACAAAATGACGGCCATATATATGCCACCTGGAAGGAACAAGGTTACAATTAAGGAAACGCCTTCAAGCAAATGCTCGTGAAACTGACCGGAGATATACAGTTTGTCGCCGACAACGACGCCGGCATGCTGACTCCGATTCTCCTGAAGGCAGGGCATATACGACCACTTGTTGTCGGCCAGTGAATAGCGCTCCACATTCGAGACACGGCGCATACCCTCCTCGGAGGTGTCGTCGTTCTCCACAATGCCACCCACCGCATACAGATACTGATTGCCGACGGCATTCAGCGAGAAACGGCAACGATCCAGCTGGATGGGTGCTATGGTCACCCAGGAGTTGCGCAACGGGCAGTAGCGAAAGCCAAACGGATGGATATACTCCTTGAGGCACACATCATAGGCCCCGCCGACAATGAACAGCTCGTTGTTGAGCACGGCAGTGCCAAAGTTGCCTGCAAGAGGAGGAGCACTCAATTAGGGTTAATGATTCAAGGCTTCATTCGAGGGACTCACATTGATCAATATGGGGTATGGTCGTCAGTTCGTACCACTTCATTTTCGATGGAGAAAAGCACATAATCTCATTTGTTAGACCCTTCCACTCGAAGCCGCCTATTTTGAGGAGACTCAGCTCCATGCCACGCAAATTGGTGGGCAAGTCTCTCAACGTCTGATCCTCCAGAGCCAGCTCCCCCTTGATGAGACGGGCCAGATACAGTTCGCGTATGCGATCAAAGTATTTCGATGGCAGCCGACGCTTCACCTTGTCATCGATCGAACAGTTCATGGCCGCCACCAGGTGCAGCTTCTTGTAGTTGATATGCGGCCAGTTGATGAGGTGCAGCAGGTCAAAGGCCACTGCATCCTCCAGCCGCTGGTCCAGGCAGTACGTGGACACCAGACGCGCCAGCTCCTGCTCGCTGACATCGATCGGATAGTTGCTGTTCAGTATGAAGCGCATCTGATCGACGCTCATCTCCTTGAAGTCCGGCCCCGCCGAAAACTCCTTAAAGTGGGCGCACACATAGCGAAAGGCACGCGCCGATAGCCCCAGCTGGCCGTAGATCTCCGCCATGGTGGCAACGGCCAAACAATTGTCCAGCCCAATGCGATGCTGCAGAAAGAACGTGCAACGGTCTATCACATCCCGCACCTGGACAATGCTGGCGGCGGCCAGTGTCTCCTCGATGTTGTCGATGTTCAGCTCTAGGCGACCGGTGTATATATACTCTAGGATGGAGCCCATGGCTCGCCCTGTGATCCCATGCAGAGCAATCTCCTTCTTGCGCGTCTCGATCATGGCACAGTCGGCGAACATGGCGCAAAAGTAGTCGCTGCTGGCAGCCAAAACCACGCGATGGGCCTGAAAAAGGGAACAATTATAGATCGAGGGAACACTCAAGGTTTTAGGAAGGTTTTTAGTGAGAGAGTGAGACGCGGCGCACCTGGTAGCGTATGCCACCTGCAATGAGTGTGACATCGGTGAGCTTCTCTTCGAGACGCAGCTTGTTCAGCCCGCTCAAAAGGCTGTCCTCCTCGGCATTGGTTTGCGTGTGGGCCGATGACATGGTGAACCACAGAACAGAACCTTAATCAATATGGGTCCCCGTCACTCCCAAGGTTGGGGAAACCCGTACGCTGCGACCTCCAGCTGCTGCCGGTTCCGGGCGATAAGAGTGCGACTGAATGCCTGCTACTATAATTAAAAATGTTTGTTGTTGATAGCAAAGGCCCTGGGGCGTCGCTGGAAGGGGGAGAGAGCGCTGCGCTGTTTCACAGTCGAACTGTTTGTGGTTCTTTGGTCCGTCGTTTCTTCTGCAGTTTCTGCGCACCCAAATTCGTATCTTAAGAATTTTTAAGTTGTGCTACAATCGTGATTTGCAGACTTTTCTTTTTTTTCCCCTTTTCCTTACGACCAGTGTGATCGCGGATTTATCGTCAATACCGTCCGACCCTCAGAAATATACCAAAATATATTGTAAATATACGGACGAATTCAAGTTATATTTTACATATTCCTCGTTTTTAATATTCCGTTGAATATTATTAGCTAGATTTTACCATGCCCACATCATTTTATATGATTTATGAATCAATTTTCTACTTGACTGGCTTATTCTAAACACTTGCTTTTTCTTTATTTCTATATACAGATGAAAATGAAATTTAATATATGGATGAAATTGACAAAATATACCATTATATACCGATATACGGTCTTGTGATCTAAATTTAACGCAAATATACCGATGGGGTTATTGGGGTTAAGTGTGAATATTAAGTAAAGTTAAGTTATCACCCGCCTTCATTTAAATACATGCTAAGCTTGAGTTAAACCGTGTAAAGTAATACTGTTTGGGAATTATTCTTGTAGATCCAAAAAAAATTACACACATCCCCCTGGTCGACACTGGGTTAATCGTTCATGTCCATAACCAGAAATCAATTTCCTCAAATTCGATAATCGGCTTAATATTACTAGCTAGTGCCCTTAGTGGTGAACATACATGTGTATCCGATTGATGAATTACTTTTTTACAAGAAACATTAATTTTAAGTACTCTTTTTCATTGTATTTTGTCTAAAATAAGGTTTAAACGAAAACGGTCATGCCTATTTTTTACATTGTCACTACTCGGTAACTACACTTTTGATACATATCAACTACATAAATTTATTGCGATATAATATATATCGTCGTCTAGAAGAAATCGAACACCACTGCCCCTCAACATGGCGCGGATTGAGCAACATTCTGGATGGATATTAGAGAGTTGAGAAAATGTCTTGTCTCTGTGCTAAAGCTATTTAACGATATTTTGCAGTTTATTTTTTTCTAACAGAGACCAAGAATAGGTATTCGGATCGAGTTATATATACAAGACACTAATCATGTGCACGAATATGTCTAAGACATATGAATCTGAGAAAAGGTTCTTAATTACGTTTTAAAACAGCTTGAAAAATAGGATCTTCATATAAAATTAAAGGAATAGGGTATACAAGTGCCCATACTCCGGTTGAAATGTTACAGGTACATTCTACACCCACCTACATTGCCACTGTTTTTTTATTGACCTTTTTTGCTTAAGCTGTGCTTTGGACACAATACAATCAAAATAAGTAGTAGTTAATTTTGTAGAAAACTTATTCATCAATGGCGGAAAGTTATGTGGGCATGGCTGAGGGTTTTATCTATCTAGTAATATTCTACGGAATATCAAAATCGAGAAATATGGAAAATGAGTAATTCGTCGGTATATTTACTGCATATGCGACGGT